AGATTCTTATGTTCTCAAAGATTCTAAGGATCGAGTTTTAAAACTCGAAAACTTCTCCTTTGAAGCCTCTTTAGAGCTTGAAAAAGTTCCTCATGAAATATTTGTGCAAAACTTTCCTAAAAATGAAGGTAAAATTATACACACAAATTGAAATGTTGCCAAAAGTATTTGGCTGGAAATTAGGCTATTTGGCAGAAATAGATGACAAATATTACTCATTAAAATGAGATGCTAATTCAATTTTAAACCAAAAAAAAAATACTAGCTAATGAGAATACAACGGTAAATGGAAATTTGAATAGTATCGATAATCCGAGGAATTGGTCTTCAAAAAAGAAGTGGTTAGTTTTGGCTATCATAACTGTCTCAGGAATATCGATGCCTATTGCAGGAACGTGAGTGTTTTTTTTTTAAATTCATAAATAGATAATCAAAATAAGGCTGCACAGTTGATTTCTTAAATTCCGGGTCGGCAATCATTATAAACTTTCTTTTTTACGGTATTAATTGCCCAGAATTTGAGATCAGTTGTAACTCGTTTTCTGTACCGGAACTATATGGAGTCTAATAAGGAAATCTATAGTTATACAATTTATCATCGACAAAGTCACATGTATATGTCGTGCCACAGACTAACGTTTCAGATGTCAATCGGCCTAAGTTAGGGTTAGGATAAGAATCTGGGAAGGATTTGGGCTTAATCAATATCGATCAGTTAATGCGGGCCAAAAAGTCGACATCTGACGCAAGCATTAATCTGAGGCACAACAATGATTCACGTGCATAAGACTTATCAATTAGGCCAGATTAAGACTAGACTGGATAAGATCAAATTACAGAATTATTTAAGCTGTGAACCGATTTTACGATAGCGGTTTAAGACCGAACTGATAAACATCCCTACTTTTGTATTTATTAAACTAAAAAAAAATCCATTAAAATTTTAGGATCCAATTTCCTGCACTTGTAGTAATACAAAATGAATTTAATGCCTCCAATTTAGCTATAGATGCTTTTGGTAATATTTAATAATTGATAACTGATAAGGAAATAGGTCAAAAGTTTATTTAAAAAAAAAAAAGTGATTAATGACCAATTAAACAGGAATTCTTTAATATTAATTTCTAAATTGTATTTAAAATTATTTCGTTTTGTAGGTTCTGTGTCTACGTTTTTCCTAGGGGTAGTGGTAAAGTGAATTTCATTTATTGTGCAGTGTTACTATTTTAATTCCTTACACTAATAATGCTTTAATAATTATTATAGTCAATAGTTTTCGCTGCATATTCGGATGAACTCGCAACAAGAAAGAAAGTGTTTATCACTTCTTTTCTAGTATTTATTTTAGCATCAGTGGTGTGCGCAATTGCAACAAACATTTGGTTGTTAATAATAATGCGCGCCATTCAGGCTTGTGGCAATTCTGCTATATTGCCACTTTGTGCTGGAGTTATAAGCGACATTTACAATCCGCTTGGTAAAATTTTTAATTATGATTATCATGACTATAATTGTAATATATACTTAATTTGGAACAACTTTAATTATTCATTTACAGAAAGAGGAAGTGCATTTGGAATATTTTACTTTGTTTTTTGGATTGGTCCCTTTCTAGCTACAATTTTTAGTGGATTCATTGCCCAATATCTTGGTTGGCGTTGGATTTTTTGGATTTTGGCGATTTTTGGTGGTGTCATCTTATTTTTGATATTATTCTTTCTTCCTGAAACTTTTAATGCTGATTCTTTAAAATCTAATCCAATTTCAAAGTTTAATCCAATTTCTCCATTAAAATTATTTAAATATCCAAATATCACTCTTGTTATTATATATATATGTATATCAACCTTATTAATTCATATTCAAAATATTAGTATTCCTATAAATTTTTCTGCTCGTTATAATTTTACAACTTCAGAAATTGGGCTATTCTTTATCGCACCTTGTTTTGGATATATGCTTGGAAGTTTGTTAGGAGGAAAATATTCGGATTATTTATCACAAAAATTATTATCAATATCTGGAGATTATTGTCCCGAAGTAAGAATAAAAGGTGCTTGGTTTGGCTCATTATTAATTCCAATAACTTGTTTCATTTATGGATGGTTATTAGAAATTAATTCTAATATTTACGTATTGGGAATCATATTATTTTTATGTGAGTTCAATATTAATATTATTTAATGTTGTATTTTATTTAAAAAATCAAACAAACTTGACTTATTATATTAACTTTTTTATAAAGGCTCATTTGGAATGTTAACCACATTTAACACTTTATCTACATATCTTGTCGACGCATGTCCTGGACGTGGTGCTTCGGTTATGGCATTAACATGTCTTATTAGATTGGCTATACCTGGTATCATAACAATTTTTGAAACTTCTATTGAAGAAAGATTAGGTGTTCGTTGGATGTTTACGTTAATAAGTGTAATATGTTTTCTTAGTATTTTATTGCTAGTTATGGTATATATTAATGGAAGGAAATGGAGATCTAATTTTATTGCTACAATCTAATATACAATAATAAGGCATTTATTTTTTACTATTTTTACTTTAATATATTATTGATTAAGTTAAATACGTATTTTGTACTAGGCAAACAATGCATATATTTATCTAGTTATCTATTGTTAGTAAATTTTTGCTGGGAATAATATAGTAAATAGCCTGTGGGGGAAGTGGCCATTGGGGAAATAAGATGTTACTTTCGTATTGCTATTGTACGTAGGAATAGGCTCAGTTACGACTATAGCTGACTATACTGTAGTCAACTATTAGTCGTGGTTCAGCTGACTGGCTAAAATTGTAGTCGATGTCAGATTTTTAATGTTCTGGATAATAAAACTAATAATTAATACTTAATTCGGCATTAGACTATATTGGTGGATTGATAAATAGAGAACTTATCATTCATAATTCTCTCAAATTTGCAGATTATTTGACCAGATCTAAAACAACCCAATTTTAAATCTGGTAAATTTGACCAGAACTAAATTTGTTTGATAAAGATCGACACACATAACAAAAATATAAACTATGATAATATCAAATGAGGGTAGCGTGGCGCAGAACCAATGCCATCTCTTGCATGCATTGTAGTCTTGAGAGTTATTTGTATAATGATATTAGTTAAATTATTGTTTATTAAATAAGGGTAGCTGCGCAGCGTACAATTTCTAATAAATAAATGTTGTAGCTGATGCTAAAATTTGGGGTGTGATTTGAAATTTTAAGTACTCTAAAATCCACATATACTCTTTAATTATCAATTCTAACCTAAAAAGAAGAATTACTAGTATTACTGGTTTAAAAAATCTCCTGACCTAAATTGTACAGATAAAAAAAATCAAATAGTAATTCGTTTTGAATAGTTCAATTATTACATTTTTCATTATTGTCGCTCGGTCAACGTCTTGAGTGCAGCAATGCTATTTAATACACGTAATCTTTTATAAGAATAGTTATCATCATCAACTTTAATTTTTTCAACTTTTCGTATACCATCAAACCAAGTTGCTAGTCTTCATATGCAAGGGTTCTAATGGAATTTTTCATGCAATTGTTAATATTTTTATTTCTAATTGTCCACCTTGTTTCTATGTCAGGGTCACATGATAGACACATCCTTTATTCGTATTATATAATATATAATGTTTTACTTTGCATCTGCAGGTTTAAACTTTTATATTGTATTAAATATAAAAAATTTTATACTCACTAACTAAATTAATCCGAATGAAATGATTCGTACAGTATGTAATGGTGGATAAGTATTTATATTGATTTGTAAACTTTGTTTTGCTGTTTTTATTTTTAATTTATTGATTTATTGTTTCTTATACTCACTCACTGAATGAAATTGAATGAAATGCAAATGAAATGATTTGTACAGAATGGTAAATTAGTATTTGTTCTTGTTTTGTAAACTTGGTTTGCTGTTTTATTTCTAAAATATAGATTAATGTTTTTTATACACCAAATATTTATACATAACGGTAAATAAGTATTTATGATCTTATTTTATGATCTTGTCTTGTAGAGATTGGAGCATCGCTTAATTCTAAGCTAACATGATTAATCAAAATTAATAATCCTATAATCATTTGGCCGTTTTACCAATGAACCATTAAACTACCTGTCGTGGTGACGACCAACACCCCTTGTATTGATAGTGCTAGGGTTAGGTGCGATCACGGGTTACCCGATCAAGACTGGGTAACGTCCATGGCGTGATTAGTGATGCATGAATTTAATTAAAAGTCTATCTGTAATGTTGCATAATGCGTGTAACCCGGGTAATCAAGTACCCGGATTGATAATCTAATAAAAGCGTATCGATTCCAAAGGAATCGATAAGCAAGTTCTAATTAATAAACAAGCTTAGTGAATACACAGTAATATAGGTGGCAGTGCCTGGTACGATACACCAGTGCGCAAAGCGAGTGCTCTGACTAAGTAAATCGAGCCTGAAACCCCTATAAGTGCGAACGTATACAACACTACCCGTTATCTGAATTATTTATTATAGCCATTGTCGTGGGTTAATCTATGACTTTCGTCACAGAATGACCTAGTCCAAACGGCGAGCCTGATCGCTTCGCTATACCCGATTTCAATGTTTATACTAAGGCAAGTATTTTACTTATTATTCAAATGCGCTTTATTAATTAAGAGGGAGACTAATACTATCTAAACTAACTAAGACTAACTCAAACTAACTACCTTTATTATTATTGCTTAGATCCTTATATACATAACTTGACTCTAATCGTTACATCACATATTAATCATATGACCATTGTCTCTTAAATTGCTCATATATTTTATTCGATTGTTTATGCATAACTTAATAATAAACTATCTTGTTTTACCTATCAATACGTAATTGATCTTACTTTGGTATTCCAACCATATTACCAACCGTCATAATCCTGATCGATCATCACGTGAATCACGTGTACAAGACACTAATTGATCGATCGCTCTTACCCTTATTCATCAACATATTCACCACATACTGTATGTCACCATGACACCATATAATAAAAATGTCTACCCAGTACATAGTGTACAATAAATAAAATAAATACAAGTGCTTGTACAATTTTGATTCATTTTTGTTTTTCTATGAGTGGTAATATTAATAGCTAGCTTTGACACTCTTAGGCGAGACCAATTTAATTCAGTGGTTTATGTTACATCCTACTCACAAAAAAAGAGGGGGAGGAGGCTGGAGGGAGTTTATTATAAATTTTTTCTCCGAAATGCTCTGCGATATTATAAAAATTTTCTGAAATTTTTCACGTATATAGTGAGGGGGGAAGGCGGGAGAGGGGGGGGTAATGTAAACCACTGAATTAAATTGGTCTCGCCTTATGAGGAATGTGGTTGTTGATTCTTCTATCAGCATAATTTTTCCATTAATAATTTTTTATGAACATGGATGAAACACTGTAAGATGAATGAAAATTGCTAGTTTTTATATGTAAAGAAGCATATTATTATTATTATTATTACTATTATTATTTTAGTACTGTTATGTTTTTAAAAGAGAGGAAAGATAACTAGATTATTTAATTAATATCATTATATATAAAGGTTTAATTACATACACTTATTTTCAAATTATAAAAGTCAAAAAAATAAGTTGTTAAATAATTTATTTGATTTGGGACCTTCTGGGTACTTTACATTTCACTACATATAAAATCATAATATGGGCAGCCGTCAATAGAAATCAAGCAAATCTACATTTGAAAAAAAATCAATGCCTTAACTTTCACAGCTCATATCTCGTTGAATTTTAAAGCTATCTTGGTGGTATAATGTTCAAAAGAAAGCTTAGATCATAAGCTTTCTTTTGAATATTAAATCATTAAGATAGTTTTAAATTTCATCGAGATATGAGCTGTGAAAGTTAAGGCATTGATTTTTTTTCAAATGTAAATTTGCTTGATTTCTATTGACGGCTGCCCATATGTATTGTGGATTTTCTATATAATCTACATTTTGTAAATGTTCGATTAAGATTTTAATATTCTCGTACCTCTCAAGAGATAAAATTTCACATATCTCACACAAAGCTCTATCATTTTATAAAAAATTATTTTAGAATATTTGCTAAAATTTTCATAAAAATTTTCATAATTGAGTAAGATACATCTCTATCTACTGATTTTATATTGTTATTATTTACATAATAATTAACCAAAGTTAATTGATTCTTTTTTTAAGCAGTATAATGTTTTATATATATGAAATGATAATAAATTTTGGATAAAAAACTATGTAAAGCTTCTAACTACTTGAAAAACTTCAAAAACTGAGAGAGAGTGTGTAGTTGTGATTATAAAAAGTATCGAATACCAGGAATTGTATATGGCATTTTTAGCAATGTGTATCTGCAAGCTCATAAATGATTGGGCATTGCAATTAAATGTGAAATTCTGCATATAAACATAATATTGCTGTATTGCATAACATAGTACTATTACTATATATATCCCTTAAACTGTAAGCAATTCCAGGCAAATTTGCCTGGAAAATTGCTATAAATTTGCTTATGATTTACTTTTTAAAATTTAAAATATTTAAATAAAAAATTTTTTGATATTATTTGAAAATAAGGATTATATTATAGTAGTATTTAATTTTATATTATAAGAAAAAAGTTTGGGTTACTTATAAGCTAAAAATAGACAAATTTAGAAAAAATTTTTAATAAAAAAATTATTTACAAATTCTTGACGAACTCTTTAAATATTAATTTTAAACCTATAGTTCTTAATACAATATTAT